GCTTAGCCCCTTGAAAATGGAGTTAATTTACTTCATGTAAAGAATGAGAAATGGGAGCTGTATGTTTGCTGCTTGCAATTGATTTACATCACAAATTTTATCTCAATAATGTGCTAAATAGAAACCTAAGTGGAGTGCACACATGTGCACAACAGCTTTTGGGGGATTCTTGAAAGTGACTAATTTTTCAGATGTTTCCCCAAAGATATGTAAACTGTACAGTGTTCACTTAAAAGTTGTAAATTCTAGAATTGATGGATTAATTCTTCATATTTGATGCTATTTTTACAATGTAAATATATAAGTATGCAGAAAGGCCCACTTAAACAATATTATCTAGAACTGATTAGGATTCTTTTTCTATAACTTTGTGTTACCACTTACACTAGACCGCATCCATGATATTTGTATTAAGGATAATGCCACAACTGCTATATTGTACTTTCAATAAACTAGCATTTGTGTATAAATAATAGTTGCTGGATATTTTAATGTGATGTCTAAATCTTCAAAGAAAGGTAATAACTAATTATGATATATCTAAAATCTTGATCCTAGAAAGCAGTGTTTGACGTTTTCAATGGCATTTTGAGTGTGGTTCCTTTCCTTCTGGTGCAGGGGAAACTAGACAGAGGCCTCAGTGACTTGATATATCTATTATAAAGTAATCTTACAAGCCTCTACGAGCACAGTATTTGGTTAGGACTTGGGAGAGTACAAAAATTATACAGCATACAAACACTCTTATTAAGTCTTGTATTATAAATAATTAAAAAACAAAATCGAGGCAACCTAAGTACACTTTGATATTATAATTTTTTGTCCTCCAAATTGATTATTGTCAAATGTGGTCTCATACCAATAATGTAGTATCATACAAATACAATAATAGTTTTTATTTTATAATTATCGTGTGCATTATTACATTGTACAAGTCACTGTTAATCAGAGATTCAAGTATGACTTGTAAATTTGTAATAGTTCATACATTATTGTGAAACGGGTATATCCAAAGCTGTCCAAGTTTTCAATTAACCTTAATTATGATAAAGAGATACAAGAATGCTTTCAAAAAGCTGTATGATATGACTTAAGGTCTCACTTTTTTATAATTGCTTAAACGATGATGAAGAAAATGGCTAAATGATAGACTAGAGAAAAAGTTTCAAAACCTTCTTACCTTCTTGTATATTCCAAAAAACTAATATTTAGGTATTCGCATAGTATATAATGTAGAAAGTATCTGTATATCGTCACTCTGCTATATTTATCACTGTTCTTATTTAATTATATTTTATTAACAAAGGAAAAAAATAATTTGAATAGAAATAACAATAAAAAAACATAAGAGTGACAACAAAGATCCTTTAAAATAAAATATCCAAATCACATCTTCTTGTGAAACAACTTTAAAGGAGAATAGTTACAGCCAGCTGTGAGTCACTTGCTGGCTTATAAAGAATCACATCCAATTGGTTATGGCTAGGCTAATTGGTTAGCACTAATTATCCTATGTGTCTATAAAGAATCAAGAACCTAAGAAGAAGCGGGGCATCGTGTTCATAATCAGAAAGTGAATAAGATCAAAGAGAATGAAGCTAACTGGAGTGAGAGTTCCAGCAGATTTTGTATTTCGACCTCTTGAGTCTTCTTGAGATAGTTCATGATATCAACTATAAGATGTACTTCTGTGACTTGTCAAATAATAAAAGAAAATAAATATTCAACAAGTTCTGAATTCGTGGATCGATCAGAATTTGTAAGAGCCCACATGCAAAATTTCCTTCACATGGAACCACGCTAACCAATATTATGTTGAGGACAAATTAGAAAGTAAATAGCAATAAAAACAAATGAACCTTGTAACTCAGCTTGGATACATATTTTCTAAAGAAGTTATTTTTATTAATCTTTATGCAAACAAAATTGAGCAATTTCTCCGCAGATTGCTCTAATGACATTTTCTGTGCTACAAATTTACTGTCCTTCAACAAATGATCATTTCTAACTGGTTTCTTTCTTTCATACCAATATATCATCACGCAAATACCATAATACAAATCTTCTGTAGCCTGCTATGATCATGGGTATCATTAATTGCTTTTTGCGAGTCACTAATAATCAATCAGAGAATTGAAGCATGACTTGTAACAGTTCCTAGCTACATGACTGCGCAATGGTTTCGTTCCGTTCCCATCTTTCTATTTTGTCGTGATTTGCGGGTATGAGTAGGTGGGTGGGGTGTCGAAAAAGGTACCATATAAGGAGGAGGTCCATAAGGACGAGGTGGTGGTGTCCAGAATGATGCTAGTGGTGGAGGAGGCGGTGGTGGAAGCGAAGGTGGAGAAAAGCTAAGACTTGTTTGGTGCTGAGGACATCCCAATGGGGGATATGAGCATTCCATACCATAGGGAGAAGCATATTCACATTCTCCATAACTATTATAAAGAGGGTTCCTTTCCACAGCCCCACCATCAAACTTGACATATTTCACTTCTGCATGATTCCCACACTTTTCTAGCACACGTAATAATATGTTTGGGTTTACTCTCCCAGTAACTTGCACTGTTCCTTGTTCTCCATCAACGGTGATATTGTACACCCCTGAAAATAATCATGCATGCATGAAATCATTTATTTTCAATAGAAAAGCACAAGCCCTGTACATTCCAAACCAGTTTCAATAATTTAAATAATTCAATAATTACAAATACCGCGAATGTTCCGCAAGATCTGCATCACCTTTGCCTTACATCCCTCGCACTGGATATTTATTTTTAGAATACAAGTCTGAAAACAAATTAAAGGATAAAGAATGGATATAAAATCAAATAATGTGTAAAGGGGAAAACACAACGAAACAGATCGAAAAATGAAGATGTATATATTTTAATATCACCATTTCAGCTGAAGAGTAGTCCATTGCGTGAGTCACAACTTTACACCTTTGACATACCAAGTAAGGTTTTATTATCACTTTGGATCGAGCATGAAATATGTGGTGATGTTCGAGTGCAATACCAAACCAGCATCTGCTATTTTAACTTCATACTCTTTTTGCACAGGATTTGATTTTGTGTAGTTTATATTTAATTAATGACATTTTAACTTGCCTAACTGAATTTTTTCATTTCCATAAACATATTACTCATCGCTTCCTGAAATTTCTCCCTAATTAAGGTGAAATTTACTCTCGATAACACAATGTCAACAATTAACATCACCAAATAAGAATTGAAAGTTTTCCATATAGGTCCGGCAAATTAAATAATGATTGTATCAAACACAGTATATATGAATATAAATGCAGAAATACAGTTAGCAATTTTTAGCTAACACGCGACTGCTCATAAAACTCTAAATGTCGGAGGCTTCACATATTTGTTATCGTGGTGTAATTATATACATTACATAATTAAATAAAAATTCATAAATCCTGCAAAATCAAGTGACAATCTACAAGAGTGCTCACTAAGAACGCGTCTTCCATTGATGAACCTGATTGGAGCAAAATTTTGGTACACTTATTACCTATTTCTTTGATATTTAGTACTCTTAATTTGATAGTTTTCTTTTATTTGACTAAAAGAATTAAAATAGAAAGAAAAAAAAAAGTAATCATACATATCAGTCATTATTTTAATTAAAATCATATACTCTTTGGAGAGCTAAAAATTTGTTTCACTGGTTGATGACTAGCCAAGGAAGTGTACAATTTGATATAAAGATGAAAATGATTGGCTAAAACAACGGGAAAAACTTGGAATTTGATACGAGATGTAACACTAAAACTTGTGCAGATTGAGCTAAAGGTCTTGCACCAAAAATGGCGCTTTAATTTTGGTAAAAGTGTGTCTTGTAATCTTACATTCATAAGCTTTTATTTGACGCAAAGTTGGAACAGAGATCACCGATTCCTTTAAGTGTCTCCTCTTGAGTTTCCCCAATTAAAATAATATAAAACTAATAAATTAGAAAACTAATGGGGAATATATTTTAATTATTCTAAATTTTTTAGAAAAGATTGGTACGACAAGCAAGTTCTCCTTATCCTACCATTAGTTTACCGAAACAGGACGGGTAAAATTTGTTTGAACGGGCCAGCAATCAAGGCCATTTTGTCAGTTCTATCGTGTGTATATAGATTCATGTTAAAATCTACCCAAAAAAAATATATTTATGTTGAAAATTTTCTAAACTTGAAGCAAACGTAGAAGTTAGAAAATATAAAATATTTCAACACGAATCTAAATGTTAGTAATCTGCCTGTTGATTTGTACTACTTTTATCTCATTCTTTTTATCTAATGGAAGATCCATGACAGGAAGTGCATAGGATTTTTTTTACGAGTAAAATAATTAAATAAAAAAGGATATAAAACTTGGATAAGAATAAGATAAATAACGGTATGATAATTTTTATCTCATTTTTCATATGATGCTGGTTTGGATACCAAATTAGATGTATTATATTTTATCTATTTTTAACTCAATCTCATAAGATAAAATCTACATTAAAAAAATACTTATACAATAAACTTTGATATACAAAAATTAACTTATATTACATTACACAAGATAACAAAATTATATAATAAATTTTTATTAAAATTATAATGTTTAAAAGCATTAATGTATTAAATTATGTAATCTTCAATTAAATTTTATGTATAATTTTTTATCATTAGCAATGTTAAAAAAAAATTATCTTGCTATGTAATCTTATTCACCAAACTTGCTCTTGGGCTCTTAAAGTAATGCATAAGCTAAGAAATAATACTTTCCCCCATAAGATGAGAATGGAGAAATTTTTTATTCAAGATTCCGGCGTTAAGTCAACCCGCAAAGGCACGAATTCCAAATCACAGCAAACAAAGAACAATGCCGAAGATTTTTCATATATTCTTGCTTATAAAACCTTTGTATTGGGTATGCAAATATCGACCCAAAGATCCAAGAGAAGCCCACTGCAACCCTACAATGCCAGTGAGCCCATTCCACAACTTACTGGGCAGGAGGAGATCAACTCCGAAATACATTGACACAGTAGAAATACCCTTGTGTGTTATATTCGAGTCTGCAAACAAATTATTGGCTTGAATTCTGCCGTCCAAACAGTGGACTTCACCTTAATCTTCCAAAAAGCTTTAATACATGGTATGCACTAAATGTCCCCAAACCCAATTGCATATATAGAGTGCCAGACACATAAACGAAAGTGTGTAAAACTCCGAAACACTTGCTAGATTTTCATTTTACCTTGAACTTTAGACGGAATGTAAAACTCCGACAAGAATGAAAGTGTTCGCACAGATAACGCTTCAATCTCAAACTTTACTCCATTCTGTAGCATCAGCTTTAGCTCCAGCCTTCAAAAGCAACATTAAGATTTAAGACACACAGAATACTATCTCAATCTGGTTGAAGAAAAACGAGGAATGTATACGAATATTACCTCCATTGTGGCACCTCCCTTTGCAGGTAGCATCTGTGCAACATGGCTTCAATTTTTCTCTCGTCTAAAAAAGAACATTGAAGAGAATATTGATTAGATCATCAATGTGACTATTTCAGTCTGATGAAGCACCACAAGCAATATCCGTTGTTACCTTCAGCAGTCAGAGGAAGGAGACACTGCTTTGGAACAGAATATCTCTCAAAATCCGAAGGAAAGGCTCCAAGCCAGTGAATCTCTGGGACACGAAGATGTGTCGTGTCATAAGCCATGTGCTAACATAATAGTCGGAATAGATTAGTCAGGCAGGGAACCAAAATGTTACCCAGACATTACGCAGAGATTCAATACTCCACTCAGTAATCTGTACATTTCACATACATGTTGAAGAATTCCTGAATTGAGAAACTTGCAAATACTAACCATTGAACCAAATCTGTAAGTGGTTAAGATGTCAAAGCCATAGGGATCACAATCTACCAAGCAATAAGCAGGCAGGTGCAAATTCTCAACCAGAAGCCGCAAAAACCTGTCAGGGGACAAATTACAAAATGCATAAAACCAACGACCGAGCAGGCACATTCCCAACTGTGCACACAGACACCTTTAAGAAGCAGTATGAAAAGGCAAGCTGGTATATGGCTTGATACTTGATAGCATAATATCTTAAGCATGTTAAAAATATTTTCCGGACCTTCTTGTAGGAATGTCTGGGTAGCCTCTTCCCTGTACCAAGAATGAATTCAAACAAAGAAATGTTGTAAAAGAAGCTAAAGTCTTTAGAAAAATGCTTACAGTGATTACAATGCAATGATTTGCATTACAGAATTTATCGTTTGCTAATCTTTGGAAAACTGCAAGCCAAGTTCAACATGGACTGTGTTTTCAATAGAAAACATATTAGGGAAGAACCTTTTTTTTCTCCAAAATAATAGCACTTTCTTACCTGATTCCTTCTCAACAACTAATATGTAATGAGCAAAACTAACGATATCTGTACACGAGTTAAGCAGCGTTTCTTCTCATCGCTAATGACTTTGTATTTTAATGTGAAGTAGCAAATATAATTAGGAGGAAACTAAACAATTGCAATACATATTCACCCAGAAATTAGGATACCTTTAACTTCCTCAACATGAACAGGAACAGGGTGGGCCTGCAGAAAAGCAAAATGCCTTCATGTAATTTGAATGGTAAAAAATTATCACTGCATTAAATTTAGTTCATAGTTCTTACGGTGTTGGGAGAACTGATGCAGTCAAAGAATCTTTCTCCTTCAAAGAATCTTATCCAGCCCATAACTAACCTATGGCAAAAGCAAACTTGACCCGTAAGTCTAACCAGTTAAAACAACTTCTAACACGTCATTATAATATGAAGTAAATGGAAGACAAAACGGATCGGTTTTGAGAAAAGTAATTAATAATTCTAATGCAACGAGAAAGAGGAATTTAATAAATTATAAGGCAGAATGCCACATATGCCAGCTTTATCGATGTACGAAATATAAACTAATGAATCACACTTTATCACTCTAAAACAATTAGGATAACAACGTAATTTGCAAAACCAAGTTAACCAACAACGAATCTCATAATTCCGAAAAAAAAAAAAAAGACAAAATTGTATCCTTTGAAGTTCATAATAACTTATACATGCACTAATGGAGGGATTTTATTTCATACAAAAATGTACCCACATTCGTAAAATAGTATCACAAGTGAAAATAAAAATATTAATATTATTCATGTGTAGAGAATTCTGACAGCAAAGTGCATTTTCTAAAATTGAGTGTGATCTCATATTGTACCCATTCCCTGCAGAAACCTACAAAAAAGAAAATGAGAAAAAAAATATAAGCATTCCGGACGTGAAACGAGTAACTTTCTATTTCAAATGAATAAGAAACTCGAGAAGTAAAAACTTTATTCACCAAAATCCACCAAATTGAGAGAGCAAAAGGGAAAGAAAAACAGCACACGACGATAAAGAGCAAGAAGTCTACCACATTAAGGTTATGACGACTGCACTGCATAAGAACACATATATCATTAATTGCATTGTCCACCACTAACTGATCTGCATTGTGAAAAGAAGTAGAATACATGAAAAAAAAAAACCCTTGTTCCAAGATTATGACAAGTTAGACCTGAGTATAATGAAGAATCATAGTAGACTTTCGGTATGACATTTGAGGCTTTTATGAAAAGACAATGGTACAAGTAGAAAGGGAACCTTGTATTGTAAAACTAAACAATTTTATTTTGATGACCCCGCAGCAGTTAAAAAATATCAATCACGCTTTCAACAATGTTATCCTACACCTATGATGCTATAACAAATCACGTCATCACGAAGGGAAAGACAGTTGAAGCAGAAAATTAAAGAGTCCTAACTCTATACCAATGCAAGGCAATTCCCTCTTTCAGTATGGATACTGCATTCACTGCATTTCATAACTAGTCATAATTTTGTTTCAATAATCAATATAACCCTTACTTCCAAATCCAACCAATGGATCTCATTCATCATCCAGTTAAGTTAAAGAAAAGAATATCATCCATATTGCCAATTGAAGAACTAACCGGAAAACACAGATGGATGCATGTAATAAATGTCTCTCTTAGAACTATGCTTATTCTCTTGCAGAAGTTTCTGAACAATCAGCAGCACTCTCAACATAACATCTGAAAGTAGAACAAATCCAAACCAAAACAAAACCTCGTCAACAGATTCAAAAACCAACATAACCGTATTCGTTTCTGTAATATACATAATAATTCAAATTCATGAAAATCGAAGGTATATTGACCTAATCGGTGGACGTGAGATTCCCTGCGGAGTGTGACAACTTCCTTTCCGCACGGCAAATCGGAGCCGCAAAAGCTGCATTGCGAAACACTCGATCAAAGAGTTAAAACGTAAACGAAACTTATAACTGTGTGGGATTCGAACGGAACCAGTTGGTGTCTGGAAGGGTGCAGTAATTTCTAAAGCGATTAATATGAATAAGCGGAGAGTGTCCGTTGGTGAGGTCTGAAAGCAAAACTCGAGTGAATTCTGCAAATGCAACGAAAACAAGCATCAATGAATCGAGATTGAAGGTGAATGAATTGTTCAGTTTTAGGAAAATTGAACGGTTTCGTAACCTTTGATTTTGGCGAGTAGAATCACGCTCTGTGGCTGTGACTGTGATCCGGACCTCATCCTCTTTCCCTCCATTTTTCGTTTCTCTTCTAATTTATGAACAGATAGAACTGTTTTGAATAAAGAGATATTGGTTTGTTTTTTGGTCAGCGAGTATGTTTAGTTCATCATGGCCCAAATGCCAACGCAGTAATGGGCTTTGGCCCACAAAGACCGAAACAGTTAACGTCGCATTCTAGAAAAACCAAGCGAACCAATTGCTGCAAAATTGAAGAGTGTTCTCCAAATCCGGAACTGAAACCATGTCGTTTTTATACTCTGGCAAAAGAAAAGTCAACATATGGTTGAAACTTGAAAGAACACCTGACAAGTGGGATTTTTTCTTTCAGACATAGCTACTCAAAATTATTAATTAATTAAAACGATCTTAATAAAATAATTTACATATTTAGTGGTCAAGTGAGAATTTAAAAAAACATTAAAAAATATTTTTTAAAAATTTAAAAACAAAAAGCGAGCTATTTATTTATTTTAATAAATAAGCAAATTTTCTTTAACATGGATATTAGTTCATAATTATTAAAAAATTATGGAGAAACAAGAACATGGGATCCACTTCCACTGAATCAGAAGCTTTCGGAAGCTTTCACCACACGGATCTCACACAGCAACAACAAAATCGCTTGAAAGGTGAAAGCTTTCATAAGCTCAGCTCCTACTTGATTGGATTCGCCACTGCTTATTGTTTCGTTTGAATTCCCTTCTGGTTAGTGATTCATCATATTTGACCGGTAAAGTACGTAATTTTCTTTTTTTTTCTTTTTCAGTTTTTGTAGTGTGTGTGTTACTGTTAGGTTGAATTTGTGTAACACTGTTGCTATTTCTGAAAATCCAATGCTACTTGAAATAGACTACAGTGGAACAAGTCTTTCACATGATCAGCATTAGAAGTGTTACCCGTAGGATCCTTAACTTAGATCCACTTTGTACAGTTTATGCTAAATCTAATGTATCATCATTATTGTCTTAACTCTTAACAAAGCAGAATTTTGTTTAAATTATGAACTGCGATCTTGAACTATAGTTTTATTTCTTTGCAATGTCTCGTGCAAGTTGCTATTTTGAAGGGATAAAGCCTGTCTTGTTTGTGTCATTTTGGGTTGATGTTGTTGGGAACTGTTTTTCTTTGGAGGATTGCCCATGACTGGATGAAAATACTTTTAGGGTGAAGTTTCATGTGGTCACTAATGAACTGAGCAAAGGGAGCAAAAAAATGGAATTTTCTTCAAAGCTGTATTGTTTTTCTTTAGGTTTATCTCATTTCCGTTCCCTTTTATTCTGTTTTTCAAACTGAGAACTTAACTAGGGATGTTCGTTCATCATATTTAATGACGATGGAATTTGAAGTGTTTGGGAAGTCCTTGTTGATTAGATGTGATGGGTTCTGCTCAAGTTTTTTTTTTTTTTAGTCCTTTTCACCTAGATTTTATTCGCAAAGGTTACTGTGCTTTGATTCTATTATGCTACTTCTAATGCCTATTAGTTATTGTGCTTACATGGTCAATATCCTTCTCTATAGCTGGAAGAAATGGATGCATTTTCTTTCTTTTATTAAATGAAGGCATGCAATTGGGGATATCCATATATGGCTTTTATGCGATGATCCAAAGGAATTTATTTTGTGTTTGTGGTAGTCAATTGAAGTAGAATTTGGATTGATCACTGCCACGTTTTTCCATGAAGCTATTTGGATGAAGTTACTCTATGCTTCATTTTTTTAAAGCCTTGCATCTTATGGAGTTATGTATAAATCCCTCTGTTATTTCACTGACGTTACTCGTTTGGACTACTTTGCAACTGAATCAGGTCCTCTTCTACTGATCTTTTCTTTCTAAGTTCATCTGCATGGACAATAATGGTGCAAAGGAGCCGCTGTTGGGATCACTGGATCCTGCAACTCAAAATGCTAAACCGCCATTAAACAAGAGAAGGTTCCTCCGCTGTAGAAGTGCTCCTGCCATGGATATTGTTCCTACTGAGATAACAAATGGCAATGAATCAGTTCCTCGTAATGTGTCCATATTTGAGAATTTACATCCAAGCTTTAAAAAGGTGGCCCTCTACCTTGCAGTCTATTTAGGTGTAGGTGCTTTAATCTTCTACCTTGTGAGGAACCAGATCAAGGGGATGAAAACAGATGGAATTCTTGATGCTTTATACTTTACAATTGTGACAATGACCACTGTTGGATATGGAGACCTAGTTCCCAATAGCAGCCTTACAAAACTACTTGCATGTGCTTTTGTTTTCTCTGGAATGGCATTGATTGGACTAATCCTAAGCAAAGCAGCAGATTACTTGGTTGAGAAACAAGAAGTTTTGCTTGTTAAAGCTATGCGCATGCACAAAAAATCTGGTCCAACTGAAATTTTAAAGGAGGTTGAGATCAATAAAGCGAGATACAAATTTATTCTGGTCCTTTCCATTCTCTTGATTCTCATTATTTCAGGGACTATTTTCTTGGTCACTGTTGAGAAGTTGGATATTATTGATGCCTTCTACTGTGTTTGTTCTACATTTACAACCCTGGGTTATGGAGATAAAAGTTTCTCAACTCAAGCAGGAAGAATATTTGCTGTGTTTTGGATATTGACCGGTACTATTTCTTTAGCTCAGCTTTTCCTCTATATTGCTGAGCTAAACACTGAAAGCAGACAAAAGGAGCTTGTCAAGTGGGTTCTTACAAGGAAGATGACCAATTTGGATTTGGAGGCTGCAGATCTTGATGAGGATGGAACTGTTGGGTTAGTTGAGCCTTCTTTCAAAGTCATACATATGTGATTTTTCTAACCTGCAAAACATTGTACAACATAAAAAGATATGTATAGAAATAAAATTTTATTGAAAATTGTAACATTTAGTAGTATCAATGCATTTAATTACATTGAATTTTGTAATTTTTATTAAAAAATTATTATATAACTTCTTGCACAGGTTAGAAAAATTTATATATATTATACCATCAATGATTTACAAGGCTTCATTGTGTTTATCTCATTTGTTTTGTTTATCTTAGGGCTGCTGAGTTTGTTATTTATAAGCTCAAAGAGATGGGGAAGATTAGTCAAGAAGATATATCACTTGTAATGCAAGAGTTTGAAGAGCTTGATGTTGATCAGTCCGGTACACTGTCAACTTCTGACTTAACACTTACTCAGTCTTCTTAGACCAACACATTACATTCACTAAGTTGATAAAGAGTGGTTCGCATTTTCCACTTTGATCACAAATTGCACACTAGAGCTTTGATGAGGATGAAAAGTCTGAAATTTATTTGAAGGGTTGGCGCTTATTGGTCAGTCTCCGACTTTCAAATTCTTAACTACTTAATCAAGGAGCTTCTTATATCATATCATGTAACTATAAAGCGTAAAAGTTTAATCTTTATAGTTTTTTGTATTTAACAAACTCCTGTCTATACACATGAACTTGCAACAATCAAGGCATATTTGCCTTTTGCTTATTTTACACTTTTAGTCCGATCAAGTAGAATAAGCTCAAGGCACTGATTTGGAGGTTATTATTTGTAAATTTTATGGATAAGTGTTTAAAAATTTGAGAATGAGTCGCATCAAAATGTTAGGGTTGACCTTAGTGATTGATCAGTACAAGAAGGAAATGATACATAAGGAACCTTACTTTCATAAAGATGTTTTTAATGTGAATGAGGACGAATTTTACTAATAGGGTTTTGAAGGTGAATATATATCATCCATCCAACTTATAAACATTTCAAAGGAAATAGGGAAGCCGGTGGCAAGGGTAGAAATGGATTGGCCTAAGCTAGGATTTATAAGATCAAACCTTTATCTACTTTAACTTTAATCCTAAGTTTAACCCACTTATTTACTTGATATAAGTTTTTTATTTTTTAATCTAACTTGTGCTTTTTTAAAAGTCTAGCCTGATATTAAAGTTTATTATGTAAAAAAAAATTTAAAATAGGGTTCCAAATACACCTTTTTCCATTAAAATTTATAGCGAAAATAAAATGAAGTTAACACTTTTTTTAAAAAATGATTTAGCTAAATAATAATAATAATAATAATAATAGTAATAATTATATTAGAAAGGTAGGAAAATAAGCTGTGCTATTTTTCATAGTTGAACGGCTATTTATAGTGCATTAAAAAATTCTTATGAAAAAATGGAGTACCAAAAACTATAACAGCAATGTTTGAATAAACTTTACCCGGAAAAAAAATTAAATTTAGTTTTAGAATTTTCTTTGTTGGTATATTTGATTTTAAAAAAAATACTGGACCAGAGCTTTTTTCCATAATCATTTAAGAAAGTACACGATTTTTATTAATTTTACTTTTAAACTTTTCTAATTATTAAAAAAAACATGGGCTAGAGTTGTCTGGCTGTTATCTACTAGTTCAAGATTTTGAATCCTTTATCTATCCCTCTATCCATAAAGCATCCTCATCGTTTGCTGTCTATGAATTGCAGCCAATTTCAAAAAATGGTAATGGTCCACCATTACCATCACCACCATTTTTTCAAACTAAAAATAATGGCATTGTCGCTTATGCATCACCTTTACACCCACCTGCAAAGACAAACTGCTATAAATCGAATCACCTGCAAAGACAAATAGCTATAAACAGATTCAAGGCCCAGAACAATCTGTACATAAAATGTTTACGAATTTAGTTACATTTCAATTAAAATTTATCAGTTTTGGTTGGTGGCTAAAATTAACAATTTGTCAGAACCTTCTTTGTCTGTATGAATATCATTGCTCTTTCTGCATACTCACCTTCACTGAATCAGCATCCCATTTTTATTTAAATTATTTATTTTAAACCAACAAAGATATCAAGGATTTTGTTTTTAGATATTCCTACGAGTTTATTTCAGTGTAAGTTGATTAACAAAAAATAAAAATAAAAATTATCTAGTCAAACAAAATACCTAATTTTTTAAATAGATGATATATTTTTGTGAAGTAAATATTTTAAAACTCATTTTATCATTTAATGTTGATTTTTTATTTACTTTAAAAACAGTTTTAAATAATTACATTTAATTTGCCTTCAAAAGCATTTTTCACTTTCAAATAAGTGTATTTAACATTTCTTAACACGATATACCCCTAACATTAAAAACCGAAATAAGTACTAATTAGTAGGACCCATTAACAAATAAGCACTCGATAGCTAAAATGGATGGCACATGGTGCAATGTACCAGTGCGACGGTTCTACAACTTTCGAGACCGATTCTTGGATTCCCATCGTTAAAAATTAATTTATACTAATCACTATCTGAACCTGTTTATTTATGTTAATTTATTCAATATTTAATATAACTTGTGTTCAAATTACGCACACATATATAAAAGAAATTCATAATTAATCACAATGAAACATATAATTAAATACTTTGGTGTTTGGCTTAACTTTGAATAGTCGAAATTAGGTTTCTTAACAAAGGCTTAACTCTTCCTAATGATAGGCTTTTTCCAGCTAAAACAAGAGATCAAACGCGTAATCACTAGTTAGTACATTGTTTTGTCAAAAAATCTAAATCAACAATAAACATTTTTTCTTATTACTTTACACAATAAACAAAATATATTCAAAGCAACTTGCAGCAATCAATCGTAGCCTGGTCGTGACCAAAGCATTACTTCATCAACGATGAATTGTGTACACAATTCATCTTTCACTGTCACTCATAAACACTGCCACCACTGATCAAAACTTAAAAAGACCCTGTCACAGCCGCAACCCCCAAATAAAATTCACTTTAACACTACCTTTTTTTTTATTCTCCCACAATAAATTAAGGTTTTTCAAAATAAAATATATTGCACCAAAAATTACCGATTATGTTAATAATTTTTTTCTCCTTTTAAGTTACTTAAAATAAAGTTAAATTAATAGTATCAAATTCAAAACTGATAATTAAGAAAAAAAGTTACAATAAAAATAACATAAAAAAGAAAGATTAGAGTTGAATGAAAGGGTTACAGTGATACAGTAGGACATAACGATGAGTTTCTGATTCTGAAGCGAGAGACGGTCACCTTAATCGAACTTGTAGCGAGTATCGAATGGCGATTCGTGGTGGCCGGCGACGTAATCGAGGAGGCCTTGGCCTGCATTGTGGAGGGAATTAGCGTCGGAATGGGGTAAAGGGGAAGTCTTGGCGAAGAAGAAGACAAGGGCAAGGACGAGGGCTGTGGAGAGGAAGAGTGGCCAGAAATAGGCGAAGAGTGTGATGAATTTTGGAGCCATGAATAGGAGAGAGAAAATGATGAGAGAGAGGACCAGTGCCCCAAGAATATGGTACCTTAACTTGAGAACCTTTTCTGGGATCTCCATGGGTGAGTGAGTGATTGACAAGGTGAGGTTCTGTGTTTTCTCTGCAGAGATTCTCTCACACAAAGTGCTGCTTTTTTTGGATTTTCGCTGAGTCACTCTTTTTTCACTCCCTTAAATGGAATCTCCATTTTATCCCCAGATCACGACACTAATTCAAGTGTGCAGAGACTATTTTCTACTCCACAGTTTTTATTTTAAATTAAAACAAGCAAAATGTTTGATCAACGAATATATAAAAAGATAAATGTAATCATATATAAGCTCAACTTAAGTAAATTTCTAAAAATGAATAAAACTTCTAATTTTAGAAATTTACCCCAACTGTATCATAATCTTAAATATAACCTCAGTTATTTAATGTTTAGAAATAATGGAACTGGTGTTATTTTTTTTACATTTTAATTAAATGTAAAAAGAAAATAAGAATTTTTACACTACTTGAGTGAATAGAAAAAAAAATTATTCCTTAAATAATTGAGAAAATAACAAAGAAAAAACAATTTTGTTCTTAACTACATTTGTTTTTCAATTAAATAAAGATCAGAAGGGATAATGACATGTGCATAGTTGTTCCAATGAAAAATTGCAACATTGAAGGTAAGGAAATAAATTTGTGTCTCTCACTCCCACAGTTCTATTCCTTTGAGCATTTGGAATTTTTTGGTCATAAAACATTTTTGGGCCCAGTTGTTTTCGTTGTCATTACATTTGGAAAGATATGAACTCAACAGTAAGCGCGCCAGCAAGAAAGTGAGGCCCAAACATCAGCGAAGCCCATTAACTTTGGGGAATCATCGCTGCGAATGTAATGTTTGGAAACTTCACAGAAAAGAAAACGGAGTGGGGAAGGTGCAAAAATGGCGCCTGTGGCAGGGAGAAGCACAGGCGCCGTTAGCGTTGGAGCTGCCATCTTCGTCTCACTCGCTGTCGCTTATTTCTTCTGCGACCGTCGCTTCAACTCATCGAAGAAGAAGAAGAAGAAGAAGAAATCTACGAAGGGGCTCGTCGACGCTATCGGAGACACTCCTTTGATTCGAATCAATAGCCTTTCTGACGCCACTGGTTGCGAAGTGAGCGTCCTTCTCCACTTATATTGATTTTTATTTTCTCTTTAGAATTTCAACTCACAGTTAATTGCTCTTCAGATTCTCGGCAAGTGCGAGTTTCTGAACCCTGGTGGCAGTGTCAAGGATCGTGTTGCAGTTAAAATCATTGAAGAGGTAGACAAATTCATCAGTCTAAAAATTTGTACATGTATTTTTAATTTTTTTTTTCTATTTGAATCACTCACATGTTCTGTTATTCAGAGTTTTATACGAACAATATAAGAAGGGATAATTCATCATTCAGTTATCTTAGCTTCGTGTTTTGTTTCATTTTCCCTGTGGTTGATTTTGCTCTTTGCAGGCTTTGGAATCTGGCCAGCTACTTCCAGGTGGAATTGTTACTGAAGGGAGTGCTGGAAGCACCGCCATTAGCATTGCCACTGTTGCTCCTGCATTTGGATGCAAAACCCATGTTGTTATACCAGATGATGCTGCCACTGAGAAGGTATTTTATTTTACCCTTGTAATCTAGGCTCTATTTGATAAAACTAGCTGAAAACATATAACTAGCCGATTGAATTAGAGTTCTTCGGCTTACTTAGTTGTTAAACTAGTTGAAATATGTAAAATGATTAAAAATACATATTTTAAGATTATTTTGTGTGAGTGTAAATTGTTTAAAAGATTAAAGGTAAAAATGAATAAAATTATTATTAGAAGCCAGCTTTCAATAAGCTAAAAGTTACTTGAAGTAGTTTTTCTCTCCCATACAACTCTGTTAGCTTATTGACCAAAAAAAAGCTATAAGCTCCTAAATTAATCATAAACTTGTGTTACCAAACACAGCCCTAATCAAGCAAGTCTGTGTTTGGTTCAAACGTGCTATAAGCCTATTATACAATCTAGCCATAAAACCTAAGATTTTGTATATGATTGATTGCCTTGCATGAACCACCCTTCAGTCTCAAACACTTGAAGCCCTTGGGGCAACTGTTGAGAGAGTACGACCAGTGTCAATTACTCACAAAGACCATTTTGTCAATATTGCAAGAAGGCGGGCATCTGAAGCTAATGAGTTTGCATCTAAGCATGGATATTCACATTTGAACGGCAAGGATGCAGAGAAAATAAATGGTCATGAATCTGATGGATACTGTCACAGCTCGGTCTTTTCTAATGATTGTCAAGGTGGCTTTTTTGCTGATCAGTTTGAGAACTTAGCAAACTTCAGGGCCCATTATGAGGGTACAGGGCCTGAGATTTGGGAACAGACCAAAGGAAATTTAGATGCATTTGTTGCAGCAGCAGGCACTGGTGGTACATTGGCTGGTGTTTCTAGGTTTCTTCAGGTTCACCTCCCTTTCCTCCACATTTTAGATTTTTTCTCATTTTGATTGTGAAAGTTGCCTGAATTTGTTGTCTTATGTTCAACAGGAAAAGAATCCAAGAATCAAGTGCTTCCTCGTAGATCCTCCTGGCTCTGGTTTGTTTAATAAGGTAACAAGGGGGGTGATGTACACCAAAGAGGAGGCAGAAGGACGAAGACTTAAGAATCCATTTGACACTATAACAGAAGGGATTGGAATTAACAGGATAACAAGAAATTTTGCGATGGCAAAACTTGATGGGGCATTTAGAGGCACAGATAGGGAGGCTGTTGAAATGGCCAGGTTATTCCTTACTCTTTTCTTAGCCATCCTACTTTTCTTATTTTCGAAGTTTTTTTTTTCTTTCGTCCTTGTTCTTTATAATGTGTCAACAACTGGCATAAATGATTAAATGAACTAGAATTAATGCGCGTCATCAACTGTCTTTTTTTTAATGTATCAGGTTTCTTTTGAAGAGTGACGGGCTCTTCCTTGGGAGTTCCTCTGCAATGAACTGTGTTGGAGCAGTTAGAGTAGCACAGTCAATTGGCCCTGGTCACACAATTGTAACCATTCTTTGCGACAGTGGAATGAGACATCTGAGCAAGTTCCACAGTGCCGAATACTTGACTCAGCTTGGTTTGACACCCAAAGCAACTGGATTGGAGTTCTTAGGTATCACATGAATTTTGGTTCCACTTTCAGAGTTTTGAAGTTTATATGCCACTGGTTCTTGACCAAAAAAAATTGCTACTGGTTCGGTACTATGTTATTTGAATCTCCGGTGCTTAATGCCCTGCCTCAGGTGCCAATGCGGACGACCTCTTTCACATCATCTGTGAGTGGCCACCACGAAGTTAGAACTAAGTTCATTGTAATTAACTTCGAGGGGGTATTATGCTTGTTGATTGACAGTTCGCCTTTTTGGGGTTGGAGAGGGGATATTATATGCTTTCATTCTTTGTTAGACTTTATGATTTATTTAACTAGTAGTGAACGATGACTACCAATTATTTGTCAGCAAAGTATGTTCAATTCAAACAATTTGAGAACGATGAATTAAGCAAGATTTTTTTATTACAAGATTAATGAAATGACACACCATTCAGAGTGAGAACTTTTTTTTTTTTTGTAATACCAGTAATACTAAAGTAATACTAAACTTGATCTATACTAGTATTTAACCGAGATCAAAGTGTGAAGGCTATGATTTCCTCAAATAACTGAATTTTACTACGAGGCATAAGACCTTTATTATCCAACGACCAAGTGCTAAATTTATTGTCAGAGTACATAACGTCGGAAACGGGGGTTTCAAGAGATGCATCAAACGATATAACAAAAAGGGCTAAAGTGGACGTTCTCCAAGAAAAAATAGCTGAATGAAACCAAAATCTCCAACGCATGCATTACCTCCTCTCAAACTGAGATTCATGGCAATGTGGATCTAACCAGTCCTTGGGGGATCCCTCTGCCATGTTGACACTTTTTTTTCCACCGCCCACAAGCTCCCTCAGATTATCAACTTTATTCTCCCTACCCGTCCCACTAATTCTCATATCAGCTTCTTTCAATTTTTGCTTCAACCGCTGCTTCCGGTTCGATGAATTTAGCTCTTGCTGTTTTGATTGTGAAGGAGGCGCTCCGTGCGGGCCCAAATAGATGTTTTCTTCCTTCTTAGACTAAGATACACAAACATATATAGTGAGTATATACTTTGTCTACACAACTAGTTCCAACACCTAAAACTTAAAAACTTTCAGTCTAATAAGAAACATTTCTTTCAGCTGACCTTTGCACAAGAATTTGAAGATTCTATCTCGGGTACAAAAGGTTTACTTCGATCCGAGTCTCCAATTCCCAAACTTGGAATCACAAATCCATCAGTGTCTACAACAAGAAAGAGTCCACCCATTCAAAATCGAAAGTTAAATGCAAACAAAATCCATTTGTCCCCAAAAAAACCCATCCCATTTCGGCAAAATTTAATGTTAAGATGCATGCATGATGTATCTCACAGGAAATACCTAAACCAAAGTACCAAACAACTACTCCCCAGACCATTAAACAAGCACAAGTCACAGACCTGATTCTCAGAAAACAAGTACAACTCCAAACGGCATGATAAATTGTAAATCTGAAAAATATTCAAGCACAAGTCTAAACATGCAATAATACCATTGCTAAAATTCTATGTATACTGGGACATTATGATGCCAACCTTACATAAAAATCAACTAGTGCCAATTGATTTAAAACAAATGAAAAAAAAAAAATCAATCAGACTCAGCCGGATATCAAATCAAGCCATAGCTACATGCATTCCACACGGATGTAGTCCCAATGACAGAAAATTAGAACAGCGAACAGATAACGGATTTCACTGTCAAATTTTTTGCATCAGTACATATGCAATAAATCAACAAGATGCAATCTGGGCATAACACAGCAACAAAACCTCATATTTTTCACCAATTTAAAGACCCATGTGCAAATCAATAAAATACCTCCCCAAAAAATTGTTTTGAAAAGAAAACATGACATACCCAAAAGTTAACACACAACAACCTCAGAAGATCCTTTTTTTCTCCTTCTTGATTGTGTCTTCAAGAACCCAAAAAGAAAAAAATTACCAAAAAAGAATTGAAGGAAAAAATGGCATACCCCACTCGTCTTCTTGTTCAATTGGAGGAGTGGTGCGCACTGGGAAGGGGTCCATTGAAAACTGACGACCATGGATTTGAACGCTCAATGGGCGATAAAGCCCGATTGCAGAGAGAGAGCAACCAAAATTTCACAACACCGATGTCAGAGAAACGAATAAAAGGCAAATAAAAAACGAACCTTAGCAATCAATCCAAAGATTGAAGATGCTTTCTTTGTGGAGGAAATTGGGATTTGGGAGGGCAATTAAACCCTAGAGTTAGGGTTTCGGCAGGCGCGTTTGAATAAGTGCCCGAATTGCCCCATTATTTGGGGCCCAATTGTTTGAAGATTGTAGTGTAGTTGTCCACTGAACAAGGGTAGTTTTGTCGTTTCAATTCTCAAGAAGATTCTTGAGATCATATGCTTCACAATATTATATTGGAAAATATGATTCGCTATTTTATTTTTGTTAAATTTAAAAAAGTCCACATATGCGATATTAATTTTTATTTTAATTCTTATAAATAATATGTATTCTAAAAAGTTTATTCTTTGAGAGTAAAGTATGCTTTTTTGGAGCATAAAATATTATTATAATTATCAATTTAAAAAAATAGATTTTATTTCTGCACTATCATCTGATATATAGAATTGAAAGTTAGCATTTGGGATGGAGAAAGTCTCGGAGTGAGTTCATGCTGAGTGTGAGGTCTTTTTTACAGTAATTCTTTGTCCTTCTTTAGTATTTCGACCGATGAATTATATTATAGGTTAAACATAAAAAGTAATGGGTCACAAAGTCGATGATTTGCTCCAGTAATGGGTCAGCTGTGCATACAAAAAGGTCCACTAAAGATCATGTATAGCAACCTTTTGGAAAAATTTTAAAAACATTTAGAACATCTTTTTCTAAATTTTTTTCAATAAATGTTTCTTCTCAACTGTATTATTATAAATATGATTATGATTAATGTTGTCTACTCATTATAATGACAATTTTATTTTAATAATATACGTATAATAAAGGAGACAAGTTAAAAATCAGTGTAAATGACAGTTTTATGATAGAGAAAAACTGTGTTATTAGTGCTATTTATCAATTAAAATTTTACTTTAATAAAGGAAGTGCTGTTTGAAACAGATTCTAAAGAGTCCTTCAACGAATATTTACTTTAACCTTGTTATTTGACTGTATTATCAAACACACCTTTGGTCATGATGCTACAAAATTTCACATATATGGAAGAAGAAGAAATTTTCTGAGGTTCTGCCATGAAAGGCAAACCAAGGTGCAGAACCTGCGCCATGTTTATTTTCTATGATTTTCGATTCCTAATGTTGTTGCCGTTTGGCTTTTATGTTTGGATAATGATATTGGTTTTTCTCCTTTCTCTAAAGAAGTATATTTTGAATTTTTCATTTTTGTTGTGTTCTACTATTGTTCAATTTCGAATAACAATAGAACGTTGTATTAAATTTTCTCATAAATAAAATATAAAATTATATTATAACACATATATACAGTAGGTGTTTTATGCAAATAAAGTCGTATTATGGTTATCTTTTTTAAAATATTATTCAGTAGGTGTTTGAAAATCTAATAAAATAATGTTAACAAATATTTTAATATAAAAATTACAATTTATAATGTCATAATAAATTTATATTTGAATATATTTTATGTCAATTTAAATATATTATTAATATGCAAGTGATATATGATATATAAAACTTATATTTTATCTTTTATGATTTTTACTAGCTCATATTTTATACATTTGAAGAATTAATTATATTAATTATAATTTTATTTTATATTTCTAATTTATTGTCTAATTTAAGGACAAATTATATAACTTAATTAACAATAAACCAAACAAAACGGTGATCTACCCTTATTAGAATTTGTGTTATTTCTACAAAATTTAAATGTTTCTGTTTATGCTTGATAACCAAATTTATAAATTTTAAAATAAAGGATAAAAGTTATCTTGAAGAAGGACGTAGTCAAAGTTGTCAATAAATATTTTATCTTAATTGTAATATTATAATTTTTATATAATTTTATAGATAAATTGAACAATTTTTTTATAATTACTTTAAAAGTGCATAATTAGAAATTAAATTAAATTAAAATAGAATATTTTAAATAAGAATAATAATATTTATTAATTATTATAATATATCCTATAATTCTTTTTTAAAATTTTTTAATGATAAAAAAATATTTGAATTAGTGATACAATAAAATAAAAAATAATTATCCAGAAAAATTATGGAGTAATAATTAGTATTTTTTTTTAAAAAATTAATAATAAAAAATTATTGAATTAGAGATATAATAAAATAATTTAAATAAAAAATAAAAAATAATTTGAACTAAATATTAAATTATATTTTTTATTATATACTTCCTAATTAGGCTTAACACGAGAGAATTTTTTTTATAATTATTCTAACAGTGCATTATCACAAATAAAATAAAATTAAAATAAAATATCTTAAATAAAAATAATAATATTTACTAATTATTATAGTATATCTTATAATTTTTTTATGACTATATTCATATATTTTCCTATAAAATAATTGTTACACACACAAATTTCTATTCTATCTTTTTTTATTTTTACTAACTCATATTTTACATATTTTAAGTGTTAATTAAACTATTCTCTATTATCTTTTATTATATATGTACTTAAATTGAGGTTAATAATAATAATAATAATAATAATAATATACTTATAAATGGTGTCATCCAATATTTCTAATGCATTTATAGATTTTAATATAACTTTAATTATTAGAGATATTGTTAAAAAAAAAATAACAGGGTTCAATTTTTATTACTTTACTATAAATAAAACAGAATTAATTATGTTTTATATTTAGTAAAGTATTTTGAGGAGAAGAAAGTGTTGCAAAACATGAATTATTAGAGATTATTATCACTAGTGAACTCCGCTTTTAAGATTCAGTATTGCACTCTGCCAAGGAGTAAGACTAGTAGATGAAAGGTGCTAGACAAAAGGCCAATGAAGCCAAAACAATGGACTTGAACATGATTATCTGCTATCTGCATCATCAATTGGCTTGAGCTGAATTCCAAATCCATTAGAATCCTCTTAATTCTCTCAACGAGACCAAGAAGGTTCAGCATTGCCACTGTTGCTAATATGGTTAACATGATTGAAGAGCCTCCAAAATCGATTACCTCTTGCTCATCTCTCTTTTGAACATCTTCGGTAACCACTTTATCCGTGACAGCAAAGTTTGTCTGTGCCAGTCCAAATTGCTTGGCCACTACATCAATGAAACCAAAGTACGAGCTGGTCCTATGGACGAGCTTCATTCTTTGCAAGTTCCACCGACCCATTGTTGTAGTAGACCCACAACTCAAATACTCACACAAGCTATATGCATTGTTAGCAAGAAATGCATACGCAAGGATGGAACCATAGACTTGAAAGCTGCAAAAAACATGAAGTAGAGGGAGTAAGTGAAAGAAAATTAACCTTTTAAGGAATAAAATCAGATTAACTCCACAAGATAGACAACCTGTGGGAACAAGGGAATGCCATGAAGCAAACAAATAGGAGAAACACTAACATAACATAGAATAGGCAGAGACATTGGAGCCCAAAAGAGGAAATTACAATATCCCATTTGTACAATCAAGTTTATCTTCCCATGCCCATAAATGAAAGGGGAACACTAGGAGAAGAAAATTTAGAACATGCCTTATGACCACTCTTATGTTGAACACAAGCCACATCTAAGGTTGTTGAACAGTTCTGCACCTAGGATTTTTCTTATGAGGCAGTAAATTTGACAAAAAAAATCTGTCGCAAGGAGGTTAGTAACAGATTTTTTGAAAAAAAAATCCGTCGCAAAATTGTGAAGAAAGTTAAGAACTCTTGGGATTATTTTTTCATTGACGAGTCTCTCATAGCGAGGACAATGCAACAATCTTGTACTTTTCTTTGGTGTTTAATATGGAAAAGACATTATTGAACAGTTTTGTGCCTAGAGTTTTCCTTATGAGGTCATAAATTTGACAAAAAAAGTTGTCGCAAGTAGGTTAGTAACAGATTTTTTGAAAAAAAATTCGTCGGTGAAGAAAGTTAAGAACTCCTAGTATTATTCTTCCTGACGAGCCTCCCATACAAGCGAGGACAATGCTTCTTCTCGCTCTTATTTGGTGTTTAATATGAAAAAAGCATTATTGAACGGTTTTGCGCCTAGAATTTTTCCTATGAGGTCGTAAATTTGACAAAAAAAATCTGGCGCAAGTAGGTTAATAATAGATTTTTTAACCTAAAAAATCTGTCGCAAAGTTGTGAAGAAAGTTAAGAATTCCTGCGGTTATTTTTCCATTGATGAGCCTCCAATACAAGCAAGAAAAACGCAACTTTGCACTCTTATTTTGTGTTTAATATGGAAAAGACATTGCTGAACGGTTCTGCGCCTAGAGTTTTACTTATGAGGTCGTTAATTTAACCAAAAAATCCGTCGCAAGTAGGAACATTTTTTTATCAAAAAAAGTAAAGCCAGCAATGAAGTACAATAAAAACTCCTTTCCGATGCCCATAAAGTATAGCTTGTAGAGAAATTATGATTCTAATTTTGACTTATACTTCTATTTTTAGTTGTGTTTATTGTCTTAATACTTGTATTTTTTTTGTCAGATTGGACAGTAACCATTAAAAAATCTTAATTTGCACCATGAAGATAAGCCAAATAATGACTTATGTAAGATCGAGCACTCTCAGAAGTTTAGTCCATTTGAGTGTTCTCATATATCACAGTTTAAGCATAATGAGCATGGAATATTAATGGACATGAAAATTGTCACACAAATACTTAAGGATTTCATTTATTGCAAAACTATAAACTAGAAATAAAAAATACTTAATATTTTTAATGCTTGACATGTTTAGCATGTCTTACATCAAAACTATGAAGATGGGGAAAAAAGATTTGCAATTTAATTTGGATACTGGTGCACTCTAGCCAAGGAATCCACATGATGAGAGTCATCAGGTAATTTGTTAAAAATTAAAAAGGAGAAATGATGAAACCAATCAAACAAAATAGAATTAGTATCACTAGTAGTTATTTCTTTTACTGGCCTTAGTGGTTAATTAGTGTTTAATATGGCAAGACATTGCTGAACAGTTTTGCACCTAAGATTTTCCTCATGAGGCCATAAATTTGACAAAAAGAATCTGTCACAA